TTAATAATAGGAAGAGGAATGTGAATGGTTACATCCCGGGTCTGGGTTAACTCCTCGGTCTCCATTAAAGCCGTGTAGGCTGCCAGGAGCACCTTCTCATATGGAATGTAATTTCCCTGCGACCCTTGCCACGACTTAGAGCTGAATTGTATGGGGCACTGGGGTGCAGCTTCACTTTCCTGCCATAGGGCATAGGACATTCCTGTAGCTCCTATGGTGAGGTATAGGTGGAACGGGGCATCGGGATGAATTGGACCAAGAGCTTGATATGTGTGTAACTCGCTTATTAGCTGCCTCAAAGCTTCCTCACGTGCTGGGGTCCATTCCCAAGTGGCACTTTTCTTTAATAGGTTGTACATCGGCCGGGCGATCACAGCAAAGCCGGGCACATGCTTTCTCCAAAAGCCCAAAACTCCCAGGCTACGTCTAGACTGGCATGATTTTCTGCAAATGCTTTTAACGGAAAAGTTTTCCGTTAAAAGCATTTGCGGAAAAGAGCGTCTAGATTGGCACGGACGCTTTTCTGAAAAAGCACTTTTTGTGGCAAAGCATCCGTGCTAATCTAGATGCGCTTTTGCGCAAAAAAGCCTCAATCATCCTTTTTCTGATGGGGTGGCAGATTCCTCTTTTGGGACGGTGTGTGTAGGCGTATCAATACTGGTACCAGCCAAAGGTCACTTGCTGACCCAATTGCCGTTGTTATCTGGTTCCTGTCTAGCATCCAGGGCTGTTGTTATTCATAGACTCATAGACTTTAAGGTCAGAAGGGACCATTATGATCATCTAGTCTGACCCCCTGCACAATGCAGGCCACAGAATCTCACCCACCCCTCTTAGAATAATCCTCTCACCTATATCTCAGATATTGGAGGCCCTGGAGCCTTTGAAGGATTCAAGTTTCACTCTCAAGGATTCTCTCTCCCAAGGATGTCAGAGGGAGGAGGGGGAGGGGAGGGGGTTCTGTCTGGCTACACCCCCGCAGTGAGCTGGGCCCTAGCTGGCTACCCCTCACTGCTGCCCTCGAGGTCCCAGCTGGCTGACCCCCCCCCACTGCCCCCTCCCCAGAGCTGGGCGCTGGCTAGCTGCCGCCTCTCCTCAATCCCTGGGCTTGGAATGTCTCACTGAGGAGAAGTGAGGAGCGGGACCCCACCAGTCACCTCTGACAGCCAGGCACTGGCCTCTGCTGCTGTCCCTGACTATTTCTATGGCTGCTACGGGAGCGGAGGAGGCTCTCAGGGACCCATGTCCCTGCCTAATGCCCACAGCTCACAGACCCCCAGGGCAGTGGTGCTCTGCAGCCATTGGAGGCCCTTTCCAGGCCCCCCCTCAGTGGAGGACACATGGGACTGGGGGGATTCAGCCCCATTTTCACCCCACAGATGAAACTGCTCTGGATCTTTTGAGATGAGTGACGGGGACGTGGCAACGCTCCGGGGCCAGGAGGGGAAGGAAACCGTCCAGTGGAAGGCAGGTGTTGGGAGTGTGGGCCACAGCAGCCATGGGTTCCACTAGCAACAGCTAGTGGGTCTGACACCTTCGCACGGAGGGCCTGGGTCTTTCCTCATGGGGGTTTTACGTTTGCCTGACTCCGGCATAACTGAGATCCGGATCAGGCCCCAAGCTCTGATGACGCATGCGACGGGGCACAAGCAGAACACCCCCTCCAGAGGGTACAAAGGCCTGGCAGCGCGGGGAGAAGAGCACACGGGCATCACAGTCAGGTTCCTCGGCCTCTGCTGCCAGCCTGGGCCAGCTTAGGTCAATCACAGCAGTTTATCATTACGGGCCCCTGGGGGAAAGTCACAGGCCTGCTTAGAACAGGTGTTTCACCCTCCTGATTCTGTTGATAGCCAGAGCCCCCCATGTTCAGCAGATGAGTCTGCTCCCCAAATGTCCTGGAGACCAGTTGAGTCACTTTGCAATTATTCTGCTTAGGCAGCTGTGCCAGCTCTGCTCATTGGGCAAGCCGAGGCCCAGTGAGTGCTATGTCACCGTGGAGTCTGGTCCTCTCCCAGCTCCGCTGTCTGGGTGGCAGGGCCCAGCTCCCAGGTGCCTGGCTTGGCCCGACTCCCTGCCATGGCTCGGTGCTGGGACGGGAATGTGCTCCGCTCCCCCCAAGCAACTCTGCAGCTGCCATGCCCCTTCTTTGCTCCATGGGCCCACATGGCAGTGCTCAGACCCAGGGGAGGGAGGGTGGCAGGGTGCACATGGGCACCCACAATGCCTAGCTGCCGGCCAGGGCCCATGGAGAGTGACAGGTGGGCGGAGAGATCCCCTAAGAAGCAGCAAAGGGAGTGCACGCTAACAGAAGGGGGATGCGGCTTGTGGGGAGAGCAGTTTGGTGACACAGCCTCGCCCCTTGCTCCCAGCCTCAGCTCAGCCCATGGTCCTGACTATTTGGGGGGAGTAAGGGGCTGGGCTCCTGGGTGGTGGGAAAATGGGAGCCCCCCGCCCTCAGAGGTTCCTGGCCCGGCTGGCCTGGAACCAAATGCTGCTGCCCTGGGCCAGCTGCACTGGTTTACTCAGAGTGGCCCATTGGAGGGGCTTTAGAGCAGTAGAGTGGAGACTGGAGGGCTAGCGGCTGGTGCTGGGATGTGGAGGCTTTTACCCCTTTCCTGGGCTGCCCCAGCAGCAGCAGAGAGACTCGTGGATTGAGTCTGGGGGTTCTCAGAGAACCTGCCATCAGACAGCTGTCCACCAATCAGAAATACCCGCTCCAGCAAAGGATCCCAATTGGACACAGACAGCCCACGGGCTGCAGAGCGTGTGACCCGGCCCTGCCCGCGGAGAGTGCACCTTGCACAGCACTGACTGCGGAGCTCATGGCTTGTAATGCATGTGCCCGGCATCCCCCCAGCCTGCTGCTGTGCCAGGCCAGTGCAGAATGAGCCCAGCGCTGGAACAGCGTGCAGAGCCAGAGCCAGGCCTGTCCGTTGCCCTCGCAGCCTAAGCCCCCCTCTAGAACAAAGAATTTCCAGCTGCCCACTTAACTGGCTTGGGGCTAAGGGACAGGGTGGCGTGATAGCTGGGACAAGGGGGGACCACAGAGTG